ATTGGTTCAAAATTGAGAAAGGAGTTCGGCAAGGCTGTATACTGTCGCCCTGCCTATTTAACTTATATGCAGAGCACATCATGAGAAAGGAAGGGCTAGATGAATCACCAGCTGGAATTAAGATTGCTGGGAGAAATATCAACAACCTCAGATATGCAGATGATACCACTCCCATGGCAGAAAGTGAAGAGGAACTAAAGAGCCTCTTGATGAGGGTGAAGGAGGAGAGCGCAAAAGTTGGCCTGAAACTCAACATTAAGAAAACTAAGATCATGGTATCCGGTCCTCTCACTTCCTGGCAAATAGATGGGGAAGAAATGGAGGTAGTGACAGATTTTATTTTCCTGAGCTTTAAATTTTATGAGAATTTAAAGCACCTCTAAAGTACTGACTAGAGAGTGCTTGCCACTTAGCAAAATGGATTTTACTTTTGTAAGGGTTTTTTAAAAAGTAAAGTATACTGCCACTGGCTTGTTTGGCAAAGGAATGCAATATTCAACACTACATTTCACCTCCTACTCATGGAAGGGAACAGCTAAATGGGAACAGGATGCTGTTCCCTGTTTACGTTAGCAAGGTTATGCTTCACATATATGGCTCTACCGATACAACTCTGAAAAGCTCTGGAAACAGTCACTGGGAGAAACTGCCAGAGTGCAGTGCAAGTGAATTAATTAACGCTATCCTGGGCAAACTCGATGAGCCATTCATGAGTAATTTTCAGAAAACACAATTGCTTTAAGTAAAACTGAAAATCATAAGGCAGATCTCTTGATTGCTAGTATTTACTGGTATTGTTTTATAAATAATATTTAAGGTTTTTCGTGAGTTTATCACAACCTGCTTTGAGGGCCCTTGTGAATGAAAGGCAGCCTTAGAAACAAAACTCAATTATAAAACAAAATAAAGCTCAACACCTAACTGTTGGAATGAGATGCAGGTAACTGTACTGCACTCTGTTTGTGCTGACTGGCTAACTCAGTGTGACATGAAATGCTCAGTTACTCACAGAACTTAAAAACTAAGTCCAGTGTCGAGGAGAGGAGAGGAGAGGAGAGGAGGCTAGACTAGGCAGTTAATCTGGCTAGCATTAGAATTTCACACAGGGAGCATGAGAAGTGGAAAAAGGATCCATGGTTGTCCATATGCATGTATTTATAGAAATGCTTATATCCCCCCTTCCATTCCATACCCAAGGCAGTTTAGTACAGTTAATACAATAGCTTCATAATCACACACAACAGTAATGCGAAATAGTAAAGCTCTACAGATTAAATAAAAATCATAGGGCAGAACCATCACCTACCTGGTAAGATGATGCAAGAACAGAAAATAATTCACCAGCCAGTGAAAGCAAGAGAGGGGAACAGCCAAGCCTTATGGTGGAAGAAATTCCAGGCCCCTTCTCTTGCCCCATCCTACTCCACAGGAAGCATATGGCAAAAGGCCTCTTCACTCGACCTTAAGGAGCCAGCAGGCTGGTATAGAATTAAGCAGTCTTAAGAAAAAGTGCAACAGACTAGAAAGAGATATCAAATGGGAAAATGTTTGAAAAATACTCTGAAAATGGCAGAGGGCTAGGGTTAGAGAGACAAAACAGAGGCAAAGAGAGAACTCTGGAGATGCTGGACTGCGTGTTGGGGGGGTGAGAAAAATGTTGGCAGGCTGGCCAAAAAATGGAATGGTGGCAGAGTAAGCAAGTACCAAGTAGGTGGTGCCCATTTTTCTGCTACTGAAGAAAGAGCAACCAGGGATAAAGCAGGAGGGGTCACAGCCACACATGGGTCCTAGAGACAGCAGAGGCTGTACACTGTTTATTTAACAGTATTTAGGAATGGCTTATCTTAAAGAAATCACTAAGCAAACACAAAAAGCAAGTCTCTGTACAGAGGAAAGCATCATCTTCCTGGGAATGCCTGTTGGAAAAGTTTATTCTCAGTAGGTGCTAAAAGTCTGGAAGGGTCATACCTGCCAAATGTGTAGTTGGTAGTGCATCCCAAAGAGATGGGAGGAAACCAAGGGGCACAGACGTGAAACAGTGTTCCCTAAACCAAAGCCTGCCAAAAAAATTCGCTTATAGGAATGTTCCATGTTACTGCCCCAAACACTTGGAGGGCACCAGATGTTTTGGATGACATTTAGGAAGGCTGATCCTAGTAACATGGCAACCCAAATACATAAGGGTCAAGCAGCAGCAGGTAGCAGCAAGGGCAACCTTCCTATATTAATTTGTACTATCCAGCCAATTATTTGACTTTAAGGGTCTAGTTAGTCATGCAATATAGCACTAAAACTGTACCAAGAATTTTGGAAAACAGAAATTAGAATAGATGAAACAATCAGTATGCTAGGTAGATGAGGTCATAGGGATTCTTGGTGAAACAATGCCAGAGCTTGGCATTATTCTATAAACCTGTGATAGTTGCAGGACTGTTTTTGCAGATGGAATTTATTGCTGGAATATATGGTTTTGGAGTGTCCAGGGAAATCTTGTATCAAAATTCTCTATTAATAGGATCCATGCACTTGTATAACATACTACATAAAACTTGTTTTGGAAAATAAAACAGAGAAACAGGCCTCTCCTGCAAGATTGAATCAGAGCACTTTTGAACTGCTTTGAAAAACAAAGACATGTGCTCTTACTGCATGGTCCCTGTTTTACAAGGCTCTCAATCAAGAACCCCTTCCCAAACACCTCACCCACCAGTCAAAAATCTAGCATTTCCCCTTTGTTCTAAATTCTGGCTAGTTATTTCTAGGCAGTTGGGCTCACTTAATATAGGAAGAGCTGAAAACACAGCAGCTGCACCATGGTGATTAGACACTGTCAGAATGGGGAAAGGAGGGTGCTAGTGAGACAAAGGCTGCCATTTCCACTCCGTTTAGTTCCAGTGGAAGCATGACACAAGAACTAATGCAGATATGCATAGCAATGAAGAAGAGGTAGATTACAAAGACCAGTGTCTCTGCAGGAGGGGAAGAGGAGAGATACACAGAATTTTTTGGCTTTGAGCGCTCCTCCCTTGGAATAAAACACAATAGAACTATTACAACACTTAAGGAAAAATCTTAAGTGCTTAAGTCTAATTCTTTAAGTCTGCCTCTGACCACTGATTAACATTTCAACCCAAGTAGTTCCAGGATAAACAAATACCACTGTTACAGAATTTGCTGAGCAGGAAGCTACAGCTCCCCCAGGATAAAAGGGAACCAACATCACAAGGCACTCTCTCCAAAATGCAAACTAACTGATGTGAAAATACAAAGGAAAGCCCTCACAGCTTCCAGCAGAATAAGCTAACATTACTATCACACAGGAAAAGAAACACAGGCCAGCACTGTACTTTCAGGCCCATGGTGAGATGGGGAACCTCTTTTAGAACAATTATCACACTCCATTTTGGGAAAGCTCTCAGGTATCGTGGACAAGACTAACGGCAGAAATGGGGGGATCCAAAAGGCCAGTATATTGCAGCTTAAAACTTTTAATGCCAGGGACTAAACCTTAGGAAAGGCATTTCTAACTTTTAGAAGGGGGGGCTGTATAAAAGCTTGAAATATTCCAAAGGATTGGGGAAGCGGGTGTAGAAGAAAACTACAGAAGGGCCAGATTTGGTCCAGTGTTGACGTTTCCCCATCTCTCACCAGCAACATAACCTAAGCAAACAACAGTGTCCTTCCTCTAATTGAGGGTGAGCAACCCAGTGCTCTGGACTACAGTTTCTACAATCCCCAGGCATTGACCAAGATGTCTGGGTCTGATGGAAGCAGCAGTCCAAACACCCCAGAAAGCATCCAGTGGCTTATCACTGCTTGTACACCCAGCCCTCAATATTTACAGACAGATCAAACCAGTGCCCCTATCTACTCCCCTTTTCTCACAACTACAGTAAATCATTTGGAAGAAAATTGAAGAGCAGTATCATCACAGAAACAAGTTCCCCATGCGGGGCTTGGACTTGAACAATCATACTGGATAAAATTCTCTTTACATACAGAATCTCTAAGCTCTATTTCTATTTGGTCACGTTAGCATACTATCTGGCAAATTAACTTTTTAAAACACAAACCCCTTCCCAGCACATGGGGAATTACATCTGTACCAAAATGCGGAGAAGGGGAGTCCACTACACAAAGTTTGTGCTACAACGAATATACACACAACCCTTATTCACACATTACTTTTAAACTACCCTGCACACCTAATTTCATTTGCAAGGGTACACTTGAAAAATGAACAAGCCAAGGGCTAGACAAACTTGTCCTCAGCAAATAGGCAGAACAAAAACACACATATCTGGTTCACATGATCAATACCTCAATAATAGCATTGTGCACGTCACCAAATAGGCTAGGATAATAAAAATGATTACTGGAGATACAATTTTCCAATTGCTTTTAATGCAACACTTTCCAATCATATTCAGATCCCAACCATGCAAAATCAAATAGAGCACAAATGAAGCTATACACGAGAATCGGTCCGTGGTCATTAGAAAGCTGGGGCAGGTTCTAGCTCCTGCCCAGCACAAGATCGGGAAGAAACAGCCTTTGCTGCTGTTAAGAGTTACTTAAGTTGCTGTATATTTGACAGTGACATCCAAGTTAAATCATCTCTGACCGGATCCATCTATGCTTATTGACGACTATTTTCTTTTGAAAACTTAAATCCAGACTCCGGAAGCCAAGGAAAACTCGTCCATGTGGCTCAGAGGAGGCTGCAGGCAGGGACCCGCTTCTGCCGCTCCTCTGCGCAACCCGCGCTGCCCCTCACGCAGACCAGAGAGGATTCCTTCGGCTCGGGGCTGCTTTGAGAAGCCGACAGGGGCGGGACTCGGGTCAAGGCTTACGGGTCTCACCGAAGCGCCCCCTCCCCACCCAACACAGCCTGAGCCCTGGCCCCTGGAATGGATCGCTACAAGAAACCGCATGGAAGCGAGGCTAATGCGAAAGAGCGCCGCGCCAGAGCAGAGTTCAGCCCGCCCGCCCGCCGTTACCCGCTTGCAGCAGCTGCATGGCGTGGGTGAAGGAGGGGTCCAGGCTGTCCTTCTCGGCCATCAGCTCGGGCAGGTACTTGCTCTCGGGCTCGGCCTTGACCGCGGGCCCCGCGCCGGGCATCAGCGGGGTGGGCGCGACGCTGGGGGCCGGCGGGCCTGTGGCCGAGGGCGGGAGGAGAGGCGGCGGCTGAGCGCCGCGCGCGCCCGCACCCCGCGGCGGCCTCCGGGGGGACGCCGCGGCCTGAGGAGACTGCAGGCGGGCGGCCGCGGCGGCGGGGCCCGGGGCCCTGCCCCGGCGGGCGGCGGCGAGGTCCTCGCGGCGCTGCATCCGCGGCCGAAGGAGCGGCAAAGGCGCGCGAGGGAACAGGGTTGCCACGCCGACGGAGCGCCGGGGCCACCGGGGCAGGAAGCGGAGCGGGCCCGGAGCGGAAACGCCTCGCGCTGGTCTCCTTCTGCGCTCTCCACCGCGCGCCAAGCACGACCGCCGCCAACCGTTCTCCGACCAGACTCGCGACTGCGCCTGCGCAAGCTTGGCGGCGGCACCCACCGCGCACGCGCCGGCCGAAGGCTGCCTCACCGTCTACCACCGCCGCCCCCAGGAGAGTCGCGGCGCGCTGAGCCACGCAGGCGCAGCATGGTCCGGGCGGCGACGCCCCTCGCTTCCCGCCATGCGCTCGCGCGCCACGCACGCGCGCTGAGCGGAACAAAAAAAAAAAATGTACGAGAAGGCTTGCGCGCGATGCCTGCGGGCACGTAGAGATAGGAAAAGTGAAGAGTAGCGTCTTGCAGCACTTAAAAGACTAAGTTGGCTTTTAATGTGCCACAACGCTAGTTACTGTTCTGTTCTAGGAGCAGCAGGCTGGATGCGGCCCCCTTAGGAAGTCTCCCCAGCGCAGAGAAGATGGGACTCGCAGGGCAGTGGGCTGGGCAGGAGCCAGTGAGAAGGAAGGAAGGACTGAGCGAAGCAGGAAAAGGTGGCGGAGGGGATGGCTGGGCTCCTGGATGTCCCCTGGCCTCGCTGGGAGGAGGGCTCCCTTCCCTTCCCCGCAGCCTCCAGGAAGAACAAAGGCGGGGCTAAAGGGGCCATCAATTCCGTCTCCAGTCAATAGAATGAATTTTCTACACTTTTTATCTCTGTGTACCGAGGCCAGGCCTCTTAGTCGCCTTTAGGTTCGGTCGTATTTGTTTGTTTGTTTGTTTGTTTGTTTGGAAATTTTGTATGCCGTCCCATTCGCATAAGCCTCGGGATGGCTTCCAACATTATAAATAAACAGTGATACAGAAAGAACATATAACATCGGGATTCATCCTGGCTAAAAGATTTTAAAACCAATAAATAATATTAATAATTATTAAAATATCATTTAAATAAAAAGGTCTTGGCCTGGTGCCGTAAAACAAATAACGACGGCGCCAGGCAGACCTCTCTGGAGAGCGCTTTCCATAAGTGGGGTGCCACTGCAGAGAAGGCCCTCCTCCTCCTAATATCTTTTACGGAGGGTTTCCAGAGGAGGACCTCTGCTGCTGATCTCAAGGGGCAGGAGGGCAAATATGGATGCAGTCGTTGCTTTAGATATCCAGGTCCCAAGCCGTTAAGGGCTTTGTAGGTGATAACCAGCACCTTGAATTGGGCCCGGACTTCGATGGGGAGCCAGAGAAGATGATAGAGGACTGGGGTTATATGAGAGTAACGCCCAGTCCCTGTCAGCAGCCTGGCAGCTCTGTTTTGCACCATCTGAAGTACCTGGACTGTCTTCAAGGGCAGCTCCACGTAGAGCGCATTACAGAAATCCAATCGGGAAGTAATCAATGCATGTGTCACTGTCACCAGGCAATTGTTCTCCAGGTAGGGACGCAGCTGATGGATCAACTGAAGCTGAAGGAAAGCGCTTCTCGCCACCGAAGTCACTTGAGCTTCCAAAGACAGCTCTGGGTTGAGGAGCACTCCCAAGCTGCGGACCCTGTCCTTTAGAGGGAGTGCAACCCCATTCAGGACAAGGTCCAAGTCACCTACCCCGGAGCCCAAACCACCCACCAACAGGACCGCCGTCTTGTCTGGATTGAGCTTCAGTTTTCAGCAGGAAAAGGTGATTTTTAAAAACTTAAAAAAAAAACACCTATCAGTGCTGATAATCAAACACTCCGTTATCCCCAGATTGCGGTAAAGGAGAGAAGGTGAACTAGGGCTGAGAGGCCGCCTTTCTTTCACCTCTGCAAAGTAGTCCGCTGTAAAATTGCTGCCTAGGGGCGCGAGGCAGAGGGTGAGCTTGCTTGCAGAGACCTCCCATAGGAAACAGAAATTCAGCAAAAGTCAACCCATTTAAAGTGCCCTATTCGAGCTCAAATGCAGGACTCAGTTGCATGGACAGCCACATGCAAATAAGTCCTATTTTAAGTTAACCCGGAAACTTTTTTTGCATTTATATCCTGCCATTTTCCTTTTGTGAGGAACATAAGGCAGATTACATATAATCATTGGGGCTTACTCCAGACAAGAAAAACCAGACTGACAGGAAAAAATCAGACAGTCTGCTGGTGGTATACAATCAAAGAACATTTACAGTTTATTCAAACATACAAGAAATATATGCACATGTAGGCAGCCCCAGAAGGGACTGCAAAGATGGAGTCTGTACAAGATGCTTTTATAATCAGTTACACACAGTTTGGAGGAGGTCTTATCCATCTTGAGTCTACAGCTCTTCTTACAGTGACAAGCTTTTAGCAGCCATAGTATAACAGAGGTTTCACTCATTTTGTCCACACTCCCAAGTAAGCATGCACAAAATTGCAACCTTGCCATTGAAAAGGTTGCATTCCCTTCCCATCCACACTGCTGCCTTTCTTTCTATCTGTCTATGGAGACGGGGTGCAAGGTGGCAATGCTGCTGCTGCTGCTGCTGCTGCTGCTGCCCACGTGTAACTAGAATCAATATGTTCCTTTTCCAGAAAAGAACAAATGCTTTCACAAGACCATCACACAAAATGTGTAGCCTGTGCATGAAATGAACATCTGACAGAGGGTTTGGGTTTGCATGACAGACTAAGCCACTATGGCGTAGCGTGACATCTGAACCAAGCCCATGTCTTGTGGGATGGCTTTGGAGTGGCTATGAAGCCATCCCAAGGAGCCATGGATTGTTCTAGGAAATCCTGTTTTTGTCTGCTCTCTAGTGGCAGAAAGAGCAACTGGTGCTGGTGAATGGAAAAGTGGCCACCCAACTGCTGTGAGAGCAGCTCCCGCGGTCCTTGTCCCTGGAGGGAGGGTGCGATAGAAGTATGTAGACAGTATGACAGCCAAGACCGGGTTGGACAGCACAATAATTCGCACTGTGGCCCAAGCAAAGCTGCGTGGGTCAGTCATCCCTGGCTCCACCCTGTGTTTGACGGAGGACCAGGCATGTTACAAGTGGCTGGCCCTCTCCTCCCTCAGTTGTCCCAAGAATTCCTCACCTTGCCTTTCTCCCATTCCCTGTTGTGCTTGTGGGCTAGCGCTAACGTTTAAGCCGGTTTTTCCTGCTTTGGACTCTGAAGTCCGGCTCAGGCTAGCTTTCATGATCTCCCTTTGGACGGGTACTCGCTGCCCTGGCAGAACCTCGCAGGGACCGTCTGCCCTTTCTATGCAATGTTTTAAAATCCCCCTTCCCCTAGTTTTGTATAAAAAAAAGGGGGGGGGGAGAATACTTAATCGTGATGGTAGAGGTGATGAAGACTGCTGACCTTTCACAACTGCAGTTATGTGGGAGCAGCCACATAGGGAACCTGGGTGATTAATGGGGGAGGGGCTGTCCTGCCAAGTCCAGCAGGTTCCCACTGGGTCCAGTGCCCCGCAGCACTGCTGGTAGATAACCCCCACCCCCAGCCCATTGGAAGCATTTGGACTCTGGTGCATGTCAAAACCTGCGTGACCCAGGCCAGTGAAAGTGGGGTGGTGTGTAGATTGCTCCCCTGGGACAACAGAACCCTTGGCAGGAGGATCCGTGGCCTTTGCGGGGAGGGTCATCTGTGCATGGTGTTCCCTCGGTCAGGCAAGTGTCCCTGAGATGCGAATATCCTGGTTGGGCCAGGGAGATCAGCGCCTCTGCAAGGGAAGGAGCAGTCCCCTGCTGCCCCTGAAGTCCTCCCCTCTGGACCTGGAAGGTCCTACTAATTGTAGGCCACTTTCCTTCCTGGGCAAGGTCCTTGAGGGAGGGGTTGGGGTTCGGGCACTCCTGGATGAGAGCGATCCGTTTCGGGGTCCATCTTATTTGAGGTGCAAGCTGGCTGGGCCGTTGGACGCTCCTTCAGGGCCACTCCGTGAAACTTCCCTGGGTGGGAGAGTCAGTCTGCTTTGGAGGGGAGGGGAGGGGAGGGTTTTCGGGAGGGGCAGGGCAGGGGTGAGTGGGGGGAGAGGCCAGCTGCCCGCTGCAGGGGCTTTTCAAGGACACATGCCCCCTGAGGGTGGAGCCAGCAGTCTTACTGAAAGGGAGGGACCTCAAGGAAGCCCCTGTCTTGGCGCCAACTCTTTACATGAGCAGAGGCATCTCCTTCCAGCTTTAGTAAAATGCTATGCCGATTTAACTTGCTCTGTCCACTGCGCACTCTCAGTGAAAGAGCAGCATTTCAAAGGATTGTCTTCAGTCTGGACCTCAGCCGAGGGAGGGAGAGGACAAGCCCACGGCATCGGCATCGTCTAATGTCTGCGTGAACCTGCTGAGTGGGGTTGTCTGGAGTTCTGGTGTGCATTGCCATCAATATGCTGATGACCTGGCACTCTATTTTCCCTTTTCCTCTTCATTAGGCGATGCTCGGGATGTCCTAAGCAGGTGCCTACCTACAATAATGGACTGGGTGAGGGCTACCACACTAAATCCAGGCAAGCCTGAGATGCTTTTGGTGGATAGTTCCTCTGACTGGATAGAGGGAATGCAATCTGTTCTAGATACATATTTTATTTATTTACTTACATATTTTATTTATTTATTATATTAGCACCCCTCCTTTTTTTCTTTCAAGGAACTCAAGGCAGCTTACACAATCTCCTTCTCAATTTCCTCTCCATCATATCACCACAACAGCAGCCCCATGAGGTAGCTTGGGCTGAGAGTGTGCTAGCGAGTGCCATGGTCTGAGTGGGGACCAGAACCTGGACGGCCTACGTCTCAGTCCCGCACTCTTAACTGCTATGCCACGCGGGCTCTGATGGGGTTGCCCTCCCCTCTGTGGGCCTGCTTCATCCCTTGAGGTGGCTTCAGTGGCCCAGAGCACCTTCCGCCAGCTCCACCTGGTGGCTCAGGTATGCTCCTATCCGGACAGTGATAGCCTGGCATCCGTAGTCTGTGCCTGGTAATCTTTGAGCAAATTACTGCAGCTACCCTTGAAGACGGTTCAGAATCATTTGCAAAATGCACATGGATACTATGCTTGCCACCTGAGGCCTTACTTGGAACCCTATTACAAGGAGGGGCTCTGCTGGTGGCCATAAGGAGCGGGGTCCTTTCTGTGGTTACAGAGTGAGCTCTC